GATCCTATATGAAAACAACTTAATAATGAAAGCGATTTAAAAAAACCATCACATTTAATATCAAAATTGAACGCATACTAAGTCCTCCCGTAATGGCATGAAGAGCAATGTCTTTAGGTGTGTCTGGTTTATCTATGATAACCAATTGTCTCTGGTTACCTTTATGATCTTTTTCATTATTAGCTAATACAGATTTCTCATAAGCTGAAGAATTTCCAATAAGTCTGATATTTACTTCATTTGAAGGAATTACATTTATTTGAGTATTTTTTGTTTTTGACATTATAAGCAAATTTTAAAAGGAAAAAAAAAAAACCTCTTTTTGGGGGAGGAGAAGCGAATAATCATTCCATTTTTATATAGGAAAATATCACCAATTAAATCGAAATTATTCTAAATAATAACAACGCTAATAAATTGTACGACCTATCTTTCCCGCTTTTTTTACCTTAAGGTTACAATGATTATTTGTAGACATTTGATTTTAATGCAAACAAAACCAAAATTTGGGGTAGTATTTTTTTGGGGAAAAATTTTTATAAATTAAAATTGTTTCGATGAGTATTCGATGCTCAGCAGATCATTGACACGTCTTGACCACGTTGGACTATTCATTCCTTTTTGAATTGTAGAATTGTGTCAATAAAATCTATTTTAATAAAGACAATACGAAAATGTTGAACATCTCTTCCCCAAAAGAATAAAAAAAATTTTTTTTTATATGTAATCCCCAACGTTTATAACTATAAACAACTAGATTTGTCGATAATAAACATTTTTGTACATTTAAATCATTTAAATCAATTTTGATTCACGGATATTTATAATTTCATTTTAATAATTGGTTAGTAGGAATTATTTTAGATTTTGGGTGAATTATATACATATTGGATCTAACACTAATAAATTACCTATAACCTTTATAGTTAAAATTTAAATATAATTTAATTGGTTATTAAAAAAAATTTTAAAATATTATATTATAATATATATTATTATAAATTTTAATATAAATAGCAAAATTTATTATTTAAATATTAAAAAAAAACTAAAATTTAAATATATAATAAAGATTAATAAAACTAATTTAATAAAATTAATTTAAAGTATCATATATTTTCTCATATTTATAATTCTAATTAATTAAAAATTTATTTTTTTTTTCAATAATTTAACTTATTGAATTTAAGAAAAAAACCTTTTTTTTATTATAAATAAATAGTTTTAATTACAAATATATCAAAATTCAAAACTGTTTAAAAATAGTTTAGATAAGTATTTTTAATATAAAGGATTGATTATATTTATTTATTTTAAATTTGCAATTTAATTTAAACATAATTTTTTTTTATAATATATTAAAACTTTTTTTTCACTATAATAAATAAATTTGATTTTAATTATTAATATTTAAATATAAAATATTTAAAATAAATAATAATATATTAAAATTTTTTATATATTAAAATAAATATTAATTATCAAAGTATTATAATTAATTAAACTAGTTATAATAAATAAATATTATAATATTATAATATTATTTAAATTATAATTAAAGATGATCACCGCAATTAAAAAAATGGTGCAATTAAGTTGCAACTCAATTAAAATTTGAAAATAATTATGGAAACCATCTTTAATTATAATAATTAAATATTTGGTTTAATTTTTTTAATAATATATAAATTACAGTATATTTTATATTTAAAAGTTTTGTAATAATTAACTTACTTTTAATTTATATATTTTATTAAGAAGTTAAAATTAATATTAAATAAAGTAATATTAAGTTATTTATTTATTATTAATTTGAATTAATAAAATGTGTAAAATTATTATTATTATTAAATTATATTTCATAATTATCCCTTAAACTGTAGAGTAGGCAAATTTGCATGTGAATATAAAAAAAAAGTATTAATTTTTTAATAAAAAATAAAATATTAATGTTAATAATATAA